CGCGGGATTTATCAAATTATTGCAAAGAAACTGATATTAAAATAAACAGAACTGTCAAAACACGACTAATAATAAAAAAAAAAAAAACAATTTTGTCCACTGGCCCTCTAAAAACAGGCACTTACTTTTCTTGTACTCGGCTTGTTTTGCTACATTCTTAACTGCTTAAGCGACGGACAGATATTTCGTAGATAAAAATGATTTGTTTAGAACAGTTCGAAGCCCAGTGGAGCTGAAGCGGTACGTTTTCAGCTATGTTCTTTTCTTTTCACAAATTTTTCCATTATTAATTTTCTGTACTATTTCCCGGCACTCATTTTTATTCCCACTAACGTAATGTGCACTGCCGCCGAGACTCCCTATTGCCAATTTCCCTATCTGTGCCGAAAAAAGCAAAAATTTATCAGCGTTCATGATCACACAGCGGTAAAAATCGTATGCTGAATTTGGCGTCTCCTGATAATGATAACTGAATAATAAATTTGAATTGATGTACCTAGCAACTACAGCATCCTAGCTTGCATCGCGTTAAATTTTGGAAAAATGACTAGCGGCTTTAAAGAAATTCAGAATCATTGCTTTTTTGGCCCAGTTTTAGATTTTTAGCTAAGATCTTTTTTCGACTAAGCCCATTTGCACGGCCCGGCAATACTTGGCCCACATGCAATTCCGCCGATATATTTACCGAGAACGAATGGAAGAAAAACGGCCTAAGGTGGCAGGGACTGTGGGTGTACAACGCCTTTCGCAAGCAAAGTTAAATTTGGAATTTTTTAAAAACTTATTTCATGAGGTGGTTATAACTGTCTCTGAGGACACAATTAAATTAAATTCGATCTGTTCAATGCGAGGCGTGGTAAAATTTTTTGCTTTTTAAGGCTCCGGATGAAAGGAAACCAGAAGCCGAGGAAACCAAAGCAAAACCTGAACCAGAAGCACCAGCACCGGAACAGAAGAAACAACTGCCAATAGAGGCTCCAGCACCCGAACCTCCAGCACCCGAAGCTCAGGCATTTGCGGCCCCAGCGTCTGAAGCAGCAACTGCACCCGCACCAGCGCCTGCACCGGAAGAGACGGCACCAAAAGCAGGAGCACCCGTACCGGAATTAACAAAGTCGGAAGCGGCATCGGATACCTCTGGTGCACCAGCCCTGGCTTCTGCTGCTCCTGCTGCTTCAGAAGCACCTCCCGTCCAGCCACCAGCTCCTGCGCCTGAGAAGCGAACG